AAATTGCAATAAATATTGTACTGTGACATGCATATCATGAAAATATCATATCACGGGATTTGGATACTGTTACATTCCTATATTTAAGTATATAAATTGTATTGTTTTATGCTGTGCATGGTGTATTTAGTGCTGTACACTAAATACAGTAAACTAGTAGTCACCGAGTAGCATTGCCAAGGCTCCCAGCAAATACTTGAACCCGCAATAGTACTACTTCCTAGTCCCTGCTCATATTTAATAAGTCTTTCTTTATAATCTCTCACAAAAGCAGACAGCCCCATGTCAAACACACCCATGTCTCGTCAGCCTCATGTCAGCTTCCGTGTTTGAGCCTTGCCTGACAGTCTCCGGCTCGGCTCCCAGCTCCTCCAGAGTCCGCTTAACCGACCCATCTCCAGCACAAAGGAGCGAGAATTATGCAACGCTTGGCAACAGTGACATGGCCGCTAACTGACGAAAAGAACTGTGCCTCTTAATATGTGCTTGGACATCCTCTGACAGCGCGCATTTACTTACAGTTCTTTTAACACAAGTGGAAAATATGCTTCACTCAAATATGGAAATTATGTATGTATTCTTTATGTGTGTGCATTTATCAAGGGGGAGTGACAAGTTGACATGCTTTCCTCCGCTTAAAAATGGAAGTAATTTATAATGACACTTATACAACCTCAAATGTACACGTGCACTGTCAGTAATATGGATGCGTTTGAAATTATTATATTAAAGTGTTTTTCTGAAGTCTTTGGTGTTTGAAAACCATACTGCGTGCATGATGGTTAATGTCAAGAGCTCGGGCTTGTGGACTGGATACCTCAAGATGACAAGGTCTTCACTCCTCTGCGCTTCTCTTGTTAAAGTGCAGATTCCTCACTATAGTGGACAAAACACAAGCCCTGAACTTACACGGTTTCATTACTTCAGAAAAGATGGATGATTTTTACTAATAATTCAACTCTTTGATTGTTGCTGAAGCTACGTTATATATGCAACCTAAAAGAATTTGTGTCTTTCTCATGGTTAGAAAAATGGAATAGATTAATATAAGACAATAATAAAATCAGATTGCAGTGTGTTTACAAGATACTCAATATGGACATGATATTGATATTCAAATCCACCTGGGGACGTTTGTCAGTTAATCAGTGCTTTTTTAGAGTAACTGTTAAGTTCGAAGACAAAGTACAATGAATTTTGAAATAACTTTTTAAATCTTGAACATGACTCGTTTATATGTTTGTTTTGGCCACATGGTGTAATGGAGTAAAAATGGTAAAGTACTGTACTTAGGTACTATTTTTAGGTATCTGCTCTTTACTTAAGTAGATATTAAAGTGGAGACCTTTTAATTTTACTACACATTTGAGAGCAGATATCTGTATTTTCTACTGTACTACCTTTTTGAAATGGACTTGTGGCCACACCAGCTTGTCAAAGCCTGATCTCATCTGATCTCAGAAGCTAAGCACGGCCAGACCTGGATAGTACTTGGATGGAAGACCTCTGGCAGTTCCCAATGCCACAGTGGTGCACCAGTTGCAAGTTGTTGTTGTGTCCTTCCATAGTATGAATGGAAGTGGTGTGTATGTGAGTGATGGTGATGATTGGAGGAGCCGATGTTGCAGATCAGCAGTCGCACTTCTGTCAGTCTGCCCCACGGCAGCTGTGGCTACAATAGTAGCTTGCCACCACTGAGTCTGGAGTGAATGAACAGTGAACTGTAAAGCACTTTGGGTGTCTTGAAAGGTGCTATATAAATGCAATGATTAATTTATTTTTGTATTAATTAACTGAAAAGTGTTTTGTTTTGTTTTTTTTAGTTTAAGACCTGCTGAAAAGAGGATTGAGGCTTTATTTTTAACACATTCATAGTTTGAGCAAACAAAAATACAGATAATATAAAAACAGCTTGGAAAAAAGAACAGTTCAGTTGTTTCTGTTGAACAATGTTCAGCACAAATCTGTATCAAAAACACGAAATTTGAAATTTTATCAAATCTAAAAATCTGTGTGAAATAATTTAGCTTTTTGCTCTTTAAGTACATTTTAAATGGGTACTTTTACTTAAATTGATTTTTTTTTGTTTTTTGTTCTGATATCAAATAGTTAATTAACAAAACTGAACTAATGGTTTGTCCTTTTTTCCATATTCAAAAGCTGATTATTCACATCAGATGTAACTGTTTACATAGCATTTCAATAATCTGATAACTCCAGAAATCAGATTATGTTCAGATTTTGGTGTACATGTAAACATAGCCAGTATCAGCCAATCACAGCTCAGCACATCTGTCTTTTAACCAATCACATGTAATGTCATTCATACAATATAAACACACATCTCCTCCATCACCTCCCATCATCCTTTCATTTCAGTTACCAGATACAGTCAGCTCATAGTTAAAAAGGCATCACCATAGAAATAAATTACTTCCGTGGAACATTCCAGGCAAAATTTTCCTTAACTCATTTGTCTATGTGTAAACGTATTATTATTTCATCAGGTTTATGGATGCTAGTGGCACAAGGGGCCTAATCATCGCATGATAGAGATCCTGTCACACTAACACAGGATGTGATTTTCACACTTTGAGAAGTTTTATAGAGCAATTGAAGTGATTGAAGGTGCTCTGTGTGTAACTTTTCTGGTGCCTCCTTTGAATTGTTTTGCCTGGAGTGTTACGCAGTATGACATTAATTTTATGACATGGAGACAAGCAGGTGACCACCAGATTACAGGTCACATCAGCGGAGATGCGATCCCACTCACAGTAAATGGTAAATGGTCAAAAGTTTATATAAACTTTTCCATCTTCAAGGCATCAAAGAACCACTCACCCATTCACACACACAATCAAGCTCATCTCACCCCAATAAGTGTCTTGCCCAAGGACACAATGGCAGTATCCATCTGCGGGAGCTGGAATCACGCTGCCAACCAATGGATCTGACCACTCACACTGACCAATGATGTTTATGTCGGGAGCGGGTTTTGAACCGCCAACCTTGAAATCAGTGGACAAACTCACTACTAATTGCTCTACCACAAAATACATCTTGTGTCATATTTTTTAGGGAAAAAAACAAAACAAAACAAAAAAAAACACTTGTAATTGAATAGATCCAAACTGGATAAACATAATGCCATACTGTGGAACATTTCTGGCAAACATAACATCTCCACGAGGACAAGGTAGTGACTGTCCACCACTAGAAAAGTTCCATAGCATTGTTGTATTATTTTTGTCTATTGATAAATGTTTCTTAAGTTTTCACTACTTTCTGCATTCAAACATCTAAATTATGCCAAAACTGAACCCTTGGAGGCACCGTCTCACCTCCAGAAGGCTGTTATGTGCAGGTTGATACTCTGCTTATCCGCTACACTTAGTTTTATTGCATCAGTCTGTCACAGCAATGGGAGAAATTGGAGCCGCGAGGGGCCCTTCTGACACTGACGCTCTATACTGACAGGGGCCACTTTAAGCACCCAAAACATCACCACAAATGCTAGTTTTTTTGCACAACTTTATTTTCGGTTTCGGTATCGGAGAGGCCTAACACGGCGCTAATGTGTTCCCACCATGCCCGCTTCTATTTGTGTCATTTTAATAGCCGTTTTTCCAGTCCAGTCACCAGAATAAAGCGGTGCCAGTGCCAGGGAGATGTCCAATTAAACCTGGGTGATAAAACAATAACAATATCCACTGGCGCCCGAGCATCATCCGAGCATTAAAAACAAATATGAACAGACACCAGTGAAGACAAATAAAATGAAGCACACGCAATTAGACATGTCACTACAGCGGTAATAGAACAGGGACTTGACACTTTATGGACTGTTATGGACTGTTCTTTGTGAATGCACTTTGTCAATGTGAAAGCAATGTGTTTGTTGAGTGTCATTAAGCAGAATGATGTTATTGCTTACTGTATTATTATTGTTTACTCAGAGCGGATATAAAATGTGAGGTATATTTATTGCAAATAATCTGATTAACTGGCTAATAGTATATTTTTATATAATTAAACTTCATTTATGTAGCTCTTTTCATTGATAATCATCTCAAATTGCAGTTACTCTAAATCGGTAGTTCTTAACCTCTTTCATCTTGGGGCCCAACTTTTTTAATAAAAACTAACTTGGGGTGCAGTCTCATATGAAATGATTTAAATTCTTCTGATTTTTGGGCCCCAGCCCTGTGGCTAAAAATCACTGCACTAAATTAAAATAAAACAGGGTAATAAAAATAAAATAAGACTCAGTCAAAAAAATGCTTTTCTAAACAAAACAGAAAGAGACAGGGCATTCCAGGACAGGTCTTCCTGAAATTTAAACCTAATTTTTGGGACCACAAGCAATCAAGGACACAATGTAATTATGTCAAGTCATATCAATGGACTCTGCAAAGTAAACCTAACTGTGAAGTGTATTTGTCAACTTTGTCAACTTAACTTTTAAAGTTTTAGACAAATGGTGGGAATATATTAGACAACGTGGTGATTGTGTTATCATGAATAATCGTAAAGTTGTACCAAACAATGACTTATTTTACAGAAATGTAAGTATACATAAGTATAAGAAGGCAAAGTATACATACGTTTTTAATTCATAAATTAGTTTTTGTTTTCTTTTTTTTTCTTAAAGAAGAAAAATGTTTTCCATCTTGATGAGAGTTGAGAGTTTATCAGTGATAAACATATGCTACAGAAAATCCACCTGAAATGGCCAAGAAAGTGTTGACTTATTTAGTGCTATTGTCCTGGAGTTTTGTGGGTTTTATTCTGACTACAGACGATGGGTAGGAGAGAAGGAGAAGGAGGGGTCCTCTCCAGTCTCCACACAGCAGCGCAGCGCATAGCACCGTGAACGCGCATGCAGGGAGCGCTGTGGAGACGTGCGCGCGCGTATCGGAAGGGAACGAAGAGAGAGGCAGTGCACACACGAGCTCAAGTGCAGGCAGCTCATCAGTCCAGTCGCCAGCGGAGCCCAAGACGACGGATGCGCGGGAGCCTTGTCGTTTTTACTGCTGCGTAAAAAAGACGTTACCATTTCCACTTGTACCATCTCCGGCCATGAAAACGGTCCTCCAACTCCTCCAGCTCCTCGGAGTGCTCGTCTGCAGCGGCCAAGGTACGAGTCCGGGCGCGGGAGAGTGCCATTGAATCCGCGGCTTTGGTTTGACTTTGTGGACAAGTTGTTGTAGCGGATCCGGGCTGTCGTTGGTCAGTCTGCTGCGGTGGCCATGAGAGGACAGTAGCGCCAGTGTGTGCGTACGTCCGTGTGTGTGTTTGGGAGAGCCAGAGAGGGGCGGATTGTTTAAACTGGATGTTGTTTTGTAGTTGGGGCACGTCTTGTGAGGGGCTACAATGCTTTCTTCTTCTGAAAAGCGGAGGATTATGTCGGTTTTGACTGCACTTCATTCACGTTTATTCCTAGATCCACTTGCTCTACTGCTTGACAACCCTTCCAATGCAGTCGCTGTCTCGTGTCTTTTTATGTTGACACATTTCTAAACATGTTCAAATCTTTCTTATTAGCGAACCCCGGGGTGCTCTGTGTCTTGTCTCTCTCCAGCAGAGGAGTCGAGGTGACGTACGCATCGTTTAAAGTTTGACATTTGAACGTGTCTTGGCGGTTGCGCGCGGAAGGACACTTGGCACGTTAATTAATGCACCTGACGTGGATGCGTGACCGGTGCGTGGCATGGGCATTGTAAGCAACGTGGGTTTGAAAGAGACAGGAAGGAAGCCTGTCTCGAACTGCTCCTCTAATAAACTTAATTACGTTGCGGTTACGTGCGTTTAGATGAGACGTTTTGAAAAGATATTACGCGCAAACCTTGTCAATTCAGAAATGTCACCCCGGAGAACCACTGAGTTATTTTTTGATGTAGACTTGAAGGAGTTTTGTGCACTGGCCATAGACACTTGCTGGTACAACGGCAGGTGGGGGTAGAGCGCTGCAAAGTGGCGCCAAGTGTAAAGACATTGCCACGGGAAAGCTGCTCGTTATACGGAAATCTGTACAGAGGAGCAGAGACCGATCCAGTGGAGCGCAGTGGCACATACGAACTTGACTATTCCAGGCAGCAGCCCAGTTGGAGAGGGAGAAACGGAGAGAGAGGTGTTAAAAATGTCGATGAATTTTAATGGGGAGTCTCACTGTCACCACAAATGTATAATGTATGGCAGTGGCTGGTGTGAAAAGCCAAATGCGGTTTGAAGAGAGATAGAGATAGCAGATGTCGCTAGAGACTTGATGCTCTAATACGGGTTAGTGTCGGTGAACTTGATAATAGTAGATATAGGTATGTGTGCGTGAATGGAATGCTTTATTGTATTGCAAACCCGTGGAAGTTTCATTAGACAGGTCAAGGTTTGCAGGAAGAACATATGTCAACATTAGATTATCAAAGCGGTATAAAGCGGTCACTGAGAAATGTCATACATTTTAGTCAAATTACCAAAATGTTCTGAGGTTTGAGTTTTAACAGTCTTGTCTCGGAGTTTGTGAGTGAATTCAGTAGTTCCAAAACGCTGCTATCACCGGTTTTAATCACATCTCGCTTTTATAGCTCATGTCCCAACTTTACCTTACATTTCTTTTCAAAAAACAATCCTGTGGTTTCATTTTCTAAAGATGTAATAAGCTACAAAATATAAGATATAGCTGCTTTTTCCTCCAGTATCTTTGTAATTTAAGATCTTCAATCACTTGTATTACTGTATTGTGTTCCCAGTGTTTATCAAATGTCTTCCCCCCCAGGCAACCCAATCTCTCACTTTCAACACTAAAGCCAGTGTTTATGCTCCTGTATCGATCAAATATACTGCATATGTCCTTATTCTGCGTTCTATTTCTCGCAATGCTTTAACTATTTCAGATGACAACCACGTTTTAGAAAAGTTTGATTTCACTGTGAACCGGGAGCTGTCCGTTTTGCCTAGTGCTGAAACCATTTTTCGCGAACTACTGTAGCGAGCCCCAATTTAATAATGCATGAAAAATCCTCACTTTGCAAGCCGGGTTGTAAGCCTAAACACGGATTCTCATTTGTTCTTTCTCTTCTGGGTTGCGGGACTATTACATCATACCACCGAAGCCGTCCCCCGTTCCAACTGTGCGGTTTTTGATAGCCATGCAAATACCCCTGTTATAATATCATTTAATATGAAGCAACTGGTGATGGAGGAGCGTATCTGGCAACATTAAGTCTACACATTTCACCCCGCTGGCTTTTAAAGAACAACATTTACTTTCCAACTCCCAGGTCACCCCATGCTACGGAGACTCATGCTTATTTTTTTTTCTTAGTACAATGAATTATATGCTTGTACTGGCTCGCCCGGGACTCTGCGATGCGATGTTAAGTGGCGTAATTAAGATATTTCAGTGCATCTCGAGGGGGAAATGTCACCGACTTAGGGTTTCAAAGATTTATGCCACTGTGCCAAAGAGTATAGCAGTGCACCCAGAGTCGAGGGTAAAGCGTGTGCCGGAGCTCTATGCTAACATCGCTCATTTACAGTCTCTGTACTCTGGAGGTAACTTTGCATAGAAAAAAATTGGTTAGCTCTGATTGGTGAAGGTTCTATATTACACAAAATTGACTCTTTGTTTTTGTTTTGTTTTGTTTTTTCTTCCTCAAACTTGTTTTATTATATGTCAAACAGTCAATTGTGAGTGAGTGTGTGTTTATGGTTGTCTTGATTTTGTTGTTTTGATGTTTTTTTGAATTTATATATCCTACTGTCTGCCCTACTGTATCTGTCTTTTGTCGTTGTATTTATGAGGACCCCCTCGACAATGAGATGGCGCGACATCTCAAGGGGCTTATCCTCCAAATAAATAACTTCACATTCAGAATTCTTGTGAACTTTAAGCCATGTTAGAAAGTTGTTACCTCTTCAAAAAAGAGTTGTGTTTTGTTTCATTCACACGTTTGAGTAAGCTTTTATTATTACTCTGGTTGCATCCCCAGAGCTCAAAATGCGCTGTTGCACCTTGTGATGTCATGTAGTAGTAGTTTTCATGTTAACAGCTAAATTTTGTTTGTTATTCAGAAGAAATTGGCAATATCAGGGCTGAAATCATTCAAATGATTCTAGTGAAAGTGTATCGAGTTTAAAAACACAATGGAGCACTTCCTGTAGGGCATTTTGGTTTGAGAGAAGAACTCAAAACTCAAAAACTCTCAAAACACAACTCCAGGTTTGTTTTTGATGAGGAAACAACATTATAATATAGATCAGAAAATAGTGTGATATGTGCGCTCTGAAGTCTCTTCAACCAATCAATTTGTGAGTTGATTAAGATATTAGCAGATGGTGCTGAGCCAATCAGAGCATGGCCAAATCTGCAGATCTTGTGGGGTTTTTCTGATAGATCAGTGAAGCTGTTCAAAGCTGTAACAAATTTGAACAGTTGCGTGTGAGTTTTAAATGTTAGTCTGTGTGGTCCAAATAAACAGGGCAGTACTTATTTTGATGCTTTTTTTTTTAAATAAAGGAGTCATAGTTACAGATACTGACTTGGATTTCTAGTTTTTGATGATAAACACAACTTCATTTTGATGGGTTTACTTGTTATTCCCACAAAGATGTTGATTCACTTACTGTAAAAAGCAGACGGTTTATGTTGCTTGTTTGAATTAAGAAAAATTCCAGTGTAGATGTTGCGTTGACGTGTTGACATATTTACTGCTGATAAAATGTTGTCTTGCTCTTGTCTAGTCCTACATCAAATTATCTGCATAACTTCTGTGTTAAGACGCCCTTCCATTTCTACCTTCGAAGTTTTGCCAGGATTTGGATAGACCCAAGGGATACATTTAAGGTACACTATGTAACTTTTCATGTAGGCTGCTCACCATCTGCTTGTCTTCATCTAATGACATTAATTTTACAGTTAAAAAAACTTGAAAAACATGCATTCTTGCCTTGAGTGGCGTCTCCGCTAATCAGATCCGACCGGTAATTTAGCCTGGAGGTGTCATCTGCGTGTCTCCATGGACGTGTTTACTTTAAAATGGCATTAAAATGTGGAGCATTCCAGACAACGCAATAACAACTACAAACTAGGATGCAGGCAGGTGGCCACTCTTTGCCAGAAAAGTGAAAATAGTGCACCTTTAAATGGCCCTAATCTGTGTTATAATGTTGTTTCCTCATCGCAAACAGACCTGGAGTTGTGTTTTGTTTCATCCACACATGTTTAATGCTCAAATCCTGCATATTTAGGCAGAGTTCTTCTCTCAAACTGAAAACACCCTGTTCCACCTTGTGATGCAGTAATACAAAAAATGCTCCACTGTGCATTTTGAGCTTTGGAAATATAGACAAACTAATAATAAAGAATTACTCAAACATGTGTGACTGAAACGAAACACAACTCCAGGTATGTTTTTGATAAGGGAACAACATAACATGGCTCAGCGCACACACGAGTCAGTTTTGTGTACTGTAGGACCTTTAACTGTAGCTTCCAACATGCAACAAACAACCAAATTGTTCTTGGTTAATTAGACCTTTCTTCCATCCCCCCATCAAACACGATCCACTCTTACGCCCTGGAACTTTACTGTGCTCCTTCAAAGTCCTCCAAGGTCTTAATCAAGTCATCACACCATGCTACAGTGGTCACACGCTCTTATTAACGACATGCACGGCTGTTCACACAAAGCTCTGGCCTGTGTTTCGGTCCGGCGAGGTAAAATTGATTGCGTTATTTGATTAATAGAAGGGGAGGGGGGGGCTATACTCTCACACATGCAGCACCAATGTGTATATGAAAATGCAATCGCTCCCTCGAGGCCACCGCATACGAGAAATCAATTTAAGGAACGACCAGAGTCAGCAGGCCCTCCGAATTGTACAAAGGGCAATCTCACTGTTATGGATATGCTATTTATTTGCCCGTGAGCTTTTGATTTCTCCAGCGTGCCCTTTAGCTCCCAATCTGCCAAGTTCAGACCTCAACATTAGATTTGTATAAGACAGGAAGAGGTGTTATAGTCTGGAACACCTGGAGACGAAAGCAATACCACTGTGGCGCATCTGTGCTGTCATAAAATAAAATAATACATAAACAAGGTTATTTTCACCCCTATATTCTTTCATATGCGCCGGAAA